AGAGCTCAAGGATCCGCGATAATTGGAGCGGCGAAGGCACACATCGTCGGCAACTCTCTTTTTTCGGCTGGTCCCTTGGTGTTATGCCAGCGGATGCACGGACATCTTCAGGCCTCAACGTTGGGATTTCAGCCAACCGGTCGCCAACGGTTACTGTTGGAGGACGACCGTCGTTGGGGTTCGTCTTCAATTTGGGCTGTCGTCGCAGTGTGTCCCGCCAGCTTCGTTCAACGGTCGGGAAAATTGAATATTTTACCTGATCCCCCTCCCACATCCCCACTCATGTCGGCGACGGAAAACGTTAGAGTGCGTGTGTCGTATGCTGTCTTCTACCTTTTCCCTCCCTTCATCGTTGCCATTTGGTGGACCTCCACCGTCGTCGTGGAGTTACGGCCCTGACGTACGTATCGTTCATAGCGGACCTCTATCGAAGGCTGCCACTGCTGCTCCTAGTCGCAATTTTGCTTGTCGTGGTCCTCTTGTTCCACGTTTGCATCCTCGGCAAGGTGCCTGGATGTACACGCAGGTGGCCACATACGCAGCTTCTCCCAGAAGTACTCCGTCGCGTCGTCGCATTGCCTGAGATCCTCCCTCACTCCCCCTGTCCTCCTTTTCATCCACCACCTCAACGTCGCTTGTGGAAGCACACCGCAACCTATGGCGCAGCAAATGTGAACTACAGCCTCGGTGATGGCCACGGTATCCAGCCCTTTGACCGGGACTTGATGAAGCGTCTTCCTCCTCTGCGTGCGGATCTGCACTCTCATACTGCCCAATGCCCTCTTCTTCTGACAACGAAAGAGCACGGCCGTCACGACCGTCGCCACGACCGTCTTCTCGATCATCGTCAACTTCACACGTCCGTCGTCGCCACCGCTCTCCATCGGCACGCGTGTTGCAATGGTCATCAACTTCGAAAATACAACAGCCTACGAATGTTGTGCAACGACCACAGTAACCTCAGCGCCAGATAGCGGACAACGTTCCCCGCGTGTGCTCGACTCCATGCATGCGCGCGGCGGCAGGAGGCAGCGATGGCGATGGACCTTGCGGGGCACTCAGAAATTTGGGACGACTTACGACAACTTGACTGCGCCTCTGCCAATGCCCGTTTCCACCGTCACCAGTATGGACGCCACCTGCCCCGCGTTGTTGTCGTCACGTCCAGCACCCAATTCGAAATTTGAATTTCGAACGGGGAGGTCCATCATTTTTTAAGGTTTTTTTTCCCCCCCGTCACCAGCGCCTTTCAAATTTTCCCGCCTTCGGCAGCTAGACCACACTGTCGCGAGACGGACATCACCCATTGCCCCTCCCCCGCCCCCACCCTCTGCGGCCGACTTTAATATTATGAAAATGGCCAATCATCCTCGGGAGACCACCCCAAGGATATGTGGAACGACGGTGGAAATTTCCTTCAAAACCCCGAAGGAAACTTCCTTCGGCCCAGAGGACGCCACAGGAGTGTCAAATGAGCCCCTTAGACTATCAACTAAATACAAAGGCTCCCCTAAATCAGCAGAGGTACATAAAAAGAAAAGGGAGCAATCGCGACCACGTGCTGTTTTAGACTTTCAGTTGGGAACCAAAACTCAAAATGGCACTCTACTTCTGACCTGAGTCTTAAACCACCAGTACTTCTGCCAGTCCTATTTCTCCGACGCAGCATGCATGTGGCTGCAGTTTTCGGGGGGTCGGCCTACCGGAGCAGAATGGCTGGCCGCGCCAGCCACAAGGAGGCCTGCACTGGTTCATGTTTTTTGGCGTGCAGGGCATTTCCAGGCTCGGCAAGGGAAGGGTCAAAAGTACTCGTGGAGTCGTGGTTTAATTGCAAAGCAAACTCGGACAAGCAAAAATGTTTTTGGGAGTTTGATAAAGCAAAAAAAGTTTGCGGGCAAAAAAATTTGTCGAGGAGGTTGGAGAGGCGGTTAAAGGAGGCCTTAATTTTTCGGACAACTTCTCAAAACCACGAGGGCGTAAACCAAGGACCAACGCTTATCGTTTACAGCATGTGAATTTCCCAATGACAGCTCGTGTTGGGGAAATAGGTCTGGCAAATCAGAGGGGGTTGGCAGAGGGATCCAGGTGTCAATCTTCATCCAGTCCTTTGAGCGCAGTCTGTAGTCCCCCTCGAATGAATCTGGGTCTTGCTGTCCAGTCACCTGCCAGCCATCCCAAATTCCAATCCGCTGTTGCTACCCATCCCCCCCGTTTCCCACCCAGCCAGTCCATGCAGAACTCTGTGATTTCTTTGAGAAGTGCAAATCTTTTGTTGTTGAGGAATCTCAGTTCTTTTTTTTTTTTTTTTTTTTTTTTGGGGGGTGATCACAACTGTCTATATTCTTCTCTCCACTTCTATTTGTTTTTTTACCTTCCACTACCTACTCCTGAGACTATCGAGAGGGGACCCCTGCAAGCATAGTTTTCCTCTCTCTGTGAAGGGGGGATTTCATGTTGCCCCTTGCCCCTAATGGTTAGGGTATAGGGTTGGGGCCGCCAGTGGGGGTCTGGCTAACACAAAGACCAAGACCTGCCAGTAGCTGTGCCTCCCTTTCTCATCGTCTCCCACCCTTCATCGAGTAGCAGCAGAGGCTATGGCCAACACTCTCCCACACACCACACACAACCCACTCGCGCTCACAGTGTCCATTTGGCTGATATTTGAATATTTCCATCTCAATTTGTTGTTTAGTTGCATCTTTTATCTTTTGGGAAGAGACGCCGCCTTCCTACTATACTGTCTTCACCCGAATAGAACGCCAGGTCATTATAGCTGCATCTGGTCTGAAAGTTGCCCCAAATACGGCTTCAATGACTGAGAGTTCTATTCGGGTGAAGACGGTAGGAGGGGGTGGGTTCAAGCATCCCCTCCTAGTAGTCTGTTCTTCCTCCACCATCAACTCTCACCCTGCCCATTACGCGAGACCATTGTTTCCACCAAAGTGCCCAGCAGATGGCTTTCCTCCCAAGATCAAACATGCTGGAACTCCACAAAATTTCACGACCGGGACGCTATGTTTCTGGGTAGACAAACTTGGCGAGTGTGTGAAGCGGTCAATCAACAAGGTTGGCCCTCGGCGAGGGGTCTGGTGAGCCCGTATACCCCAGTCTGTCCATCCTTTCATCGAAACGAATGTAGTGTGAAGATTGCTCCCCCACTTTCTTGGGAGCAAAATCCAAGAAAAGCACAAGGGACAATCCTCGAAAGCGCAACACAGCACCGGACTTGACAGAGTCAGTCATGTTGAACCACCAGTACTTCCAAGCCACTTTTCCCGGGGCTCGAAACACCCTGCGCACCAAAAGAAAAGGAACCGGTGCGGGTCTACTTTGGGCTGGCCCCACCAGCCATTTCGCTCCGGCAGCTGACCCCCAAAAGTTGCGGTCTGCATGCAGCCGCATCGGACAAAAACGACTGGGAAACGTAGTGGTGGTTTGAACACAGATTATCAGAAAATGGATATGGATGGGGAAAAAACTTTAAAAAAGTGCGAGTCACAAATTTCAACACTAAGGAAAAAGACGACATAAGCTGATTGCATTCAACATTTGCTGCACACAGCATACTTGCATGGTTTACTTTTTTTTTTTTTTTTTTTTGTTATGAACTTATAGTTGTCACTGCCTTTGCGGACGTATTTTAAAAACTTACATTCGGAAATGGACTGGAGCCCCGTCGAAGACGGGTACGACTGTATGCTCTTACCATCACTCTTATCTGTTGTCGCGGGTGGAAAGTCGCGGCTACACGTACATTAGCCATTGCTGCAGTGCTGCGACAATTCCACTTCAACGAATTTATGCCAGCGCCCCAGGCTGCTCGTTCATCCTAGCACATCCTGGCGACGGTGGCGTGCATGTGGCCGTGACTTCCGGAAGCACTGGTGGTTTAAGACCAAACTCAGTCGATAAATTCCCATCTGAGTATGCTGTTAAGCTTCTAGCAAAACTGTTGCGGTCTCTCCAGCTTCCCTTGCTCAAGGACAATACTGACCAGCTAGACGGGATCTCCAGATAATGAGGGCCAGGATTCGAAAGTTTGAACAGCAACGGCAATGACGAGTCGTTGACGACTGTATCTGCCCCTCTCTGCCACTCGCTTGCCAAGGGTGAGAAATTCCATCCTAACTGGAGTAATAGGGATGCATTCAGATGCTGCATGCACATACTAGGTAGTAGGTAGGTCGAAAAGGCCTATTCGTGGTCAGTTTGCGGCAAAGAATGTTATCTTTTCTAATTGTCGCTATTATAAAGTTCGTTCATTTCCTGTTTAAGCTATGCTGTTTTTCCAGGCGCCCGGGCACCCAACTTATGCCCGGGTACACGCCCGGGTGCCCGGCCGGGCATGACCCCCGGGCAGGGTTCCAGGCAGCCTCAGCGCAAAAAAAAAAAAAAATCAAAAAATTCCGGAAAAAAACTATGTTGTGTAGAATTGCAATACAACCGACTTTTGGCTGAGGGTCACATTAAAATTCCTCACAGAATCGGAGATAAAAAACAAAACAACAGAATCACACTAAGGCACCCCCCTTTAAATCCCTTAAACCCCTTTCAAACCAATTTATACCCTCCTCCCTTGACAGCCAACTCGCGAAAGAAGAAATGAGCCCGGATTTGGGGTCCTCTGGGAGAGTGCAGAAAACCAAAAAAAAAAGTGCCGCCCGGGGGAGCGGCCAGGCAGGGCCGGCCGGGCGTGAGAATCCTCCCAGTGTTTATGGCTTTAAGCCTGACTTCCCAAACAATTCTCTCTGGAATTGGTTTCTTCTTATACCGAAAAAATGTGAAAATGCAATAAAACATGGAGCAACATCCATAACATAAGGGGAACAATGAATAGACCAGAGCCTTGTGTTTCATAACAACAAAAAAAAAAGCTAAAAAAAAGGTTTAAAAAACACCATCCATAACACGAAGCTCAGAAAAAACATCAAGAAAAAAAGGATATCATAATGTACATTAACACAGTCATTGTCGTTATGTGCATTATGCATGTCATGCAGGGTATCGTGAAGAGTAAGATGGGTGAGAAGATGCTCTCCTCCCCCTCCCCCTCTCCCCCCGTGAGTCGCGGCCGCAAGCAAGTTTTATTCTTTCATTATTGATGATCTGCCGACTATCAATGGTTGTGGACAAGCATTGGAGAGCGGAGCAGAGAAGATGGTATATTGCAGACTGTATTCAGCCAAACAGTTTAGCTACATGCATGCTGTATTGTTCGCGGACAAGTCCACATTCGTCTCCAGTCAGCTGTACCTGTGGCTGTGCCTACACCTGTATACAAGCAAGCACATCTGAAATGTGTGTCCCTGCCCCCCCTGCCTACCCCTTCCTGCCCCAGTCTTCGCCTCCCTGTTACGTATGGGCACTGCTGGTGGTGCAGAGCAAAGACACCGAATCCGTGCGTTGGAGAAACTGTCAGTGTACATATCGCTGTACCTATAATTGCTCTATCCGTAAGTCTCAAGCGGCACATATACAATAATAAATTAATAATATTATAATAATTAATAATTATATATATATTGAAATTACTTGAATCTTGACCTGCAACTGCTGGCATCTACCTGTTACATACATACAGGTACAGATCTTGAACCTCTGACCGGGACCTGACGATGAACCTGGACCTGGCGATGAACCTGCACATCGTTCCGGGACCATGTAGTTAGAGATACCTCCACAGATATGGTGGCTATGAGCCACCGTAATGTTGGGGACCACAAGAATTCAGCTCCAGCTGTAGGCTGTAGCTATCCCATTCAGCTACAGCAGTAGGTATTGTGATGCTTCTTGGGCTTTCCGTTTGCCGACTACTGCAGCTGGAATTGAGATGGATGTTGGGCATGGATGATAGGGTTCCGCTGGCACCGATACGCGTCTACACAGCCGTAGGCCCGTAGCTATCATATTTTCAACTACACCTGCAGGTATAGCGATTAGCCACGCCTACGACCGCAGCTGTTATTGAGATGGCTGCTGGCCATGGAAGATCGGGTTCCCCCGGCACCGATTCAGGTACAGCTGTAGCTATCGTATTCAGCTACACCTGGAGGTATAGCCACACTTGACCTCTCTGTTTGTTTGCCTACGACTTCTGCTGTAATTGAGACGGCGGCTGGCCTGCGACATACGGTTCCCCATGCCACTGCAATTCCATGGAACATAGGGTTTCCTTGGCACCGAATGAAGGCCGCAGCTGCCTCCTCATTTGTTTCTTGCAATGAGGTCCGTCAGCTCTGACAGTCGCCTGTAATGGAGCAGAGAATTGCCGCAGGGAAGGACTTATACGAGGACAAGTGCAGCGCAGCGCAGTGAAAACATGAATTACCCTGGGAGGGAGCATACCCGAGGCCATATGGCTGAATGGTACGCACATGTAACGGTTGATAAGCAGAACACGAGTTCGAATGGGGAAGCAAAATTAGAGAAATAGTATACCGTAATGTTAGTGACTACCCCTTATTAAAGAAAAATGATTACCTGGGAGCATAAACATGTATTGCAGTTGTAGCACGGGGAAGGACACACCTGGGAGGAGAGTGTGCAATCACCTCGCACCGGGAGCTTTCCAGGAGGTGTCTGAGGACTGGATTAAGCTCTTGGACCTGGATGGGTTTTCTGCGGAGATGCAGAAAAGCAGATCAATTGACTGCGATTCTTTTTATTCCCCCCCCCCCCCCCCCTGCAGCTCTCCACAAACATGTCCAGATTCTGGTGTTGACTCTGTCGAGTCCAATTCTCTTTGCTAGTGGGACCTCGCCTCACCCTAAGCGCGCAGTAACAGCCAGAAATGTCCGTCCAGAAAGTCCTTTTGTGTTAGTATCCCCTAATGGTTCTTCTCTTTGTTGCAGAGAAGCAGTACCAGCAGAAACAGCAGCAGCAGCAGCAGCAGCAACAGATGGAATGATTAACTAGCAGCATGTCCAGAAAGCTGCCCCACAGATCCCCTAATGGTTATTCTCTTTGTTGCAGAGAAGCAGTGGCAGCAGAAACAGCAGCAGCAGCAGCAGCAGCAACAGCAGCAGCAGCAACAGCAACAGCAGCGGCAGCAGCAACAGCAGTAGCAACAGATGGAATGATTAACTAGCAGCATGTCCAGAAAGCTGCACCCACAGAAAAACACCTCCCCCACCCCCCCCCCCCCCCCCCCCCCGTCGCCCAACAATCAATCACCTGACGCTGTGTGTGATGGTGGTTGATGGCTGGAGCTTAAGCCACCAATACTTTTCCAAGGCAATTTTCTATGCCGCGCCAGTGCGCGCGCTGTGTCTGCCAGCATGCACCGGCCTGCTGTTTCGCATGGAAAACATCCAGACAAAACAGACCGTGGGTGCGAGTCGTTTTGCCTGGATGAATTTCGGGCGAAGCAGCAGGCCGGCACGTCCCGCCACACGCGGCCATGCACGCGCCGCAGCGTAGTGGTGGTTTGATAGTACTGAACATGGCAGGATGGAGGACTTTTTCTTTTTTTTTCTTTTTTTTTTAACAGTATTCTTTTTCCATGGAGGATTATAACATTTTTCTTTCTCCTGCCCCCTTTTTTGCAACGAGATTGTCCCACTCTATTACCTTCTGGAAACCAGATCCAGAGTGTGGAGGCCAAGATGGAGGAAGACTGTGTCCTGTATGGTGGCTGGGCATGGGACCAGTTGGGCCCAGGAGCCCGAGCAGGAAACACACGACTGTGAGATTGTCAGCGAGGAGAATTAGGACAAGTATGAGGGAATCGCGTGCTCTTGCCAGGGATGAATCTGGCTATGAACCTGCTGCTGGTTCCTGCACTCTTGAGTTCTGTCAAGGGGACGGGCGTTGTTAACTTGCTATGTGAAAGGAATTGTTATATGCGGCCTGCGTGTGAGGAATGACTGTTTGTGGTTATCACAAGGCGATCGAGGGATTGAGGGATCGAGGCAGTCGATGACTCCTTGAGATGCGGTTCTCTCAAGGGAGTTCAGGGAATTGAGGGAGGGCTTGATTTTCTTGAGCAATGGGGGCAAGGGTGGCACAAGGGGGCCAAGGGGCCCAAGGGTAGCACAAGGGGCCCAAGGGGCCCAAGGGTGGCACAAGGGGCCCAAGGGTAGCACAAGGGGGCCAAGGTACAAGCAAGGGGCCCAAGGGTGACTTGCCAAAGTTATTCTTCAGCAGCTCACATGCATTTTGCGTGTGAAGTTGTGAACACTCAGATGCATGTTTCAGTGGACGTCTGTTAGGTCATCCTGTACAACTGAAAGAGGCGCATTACTGTATTTCGTGTGTAGGGGTGTGGGACTCATCGCAATCCAGCAATGATCCAAGAAGAGAAAACATAGCGTGTTCCAAAAGTGCTTTTGAGACTTTTGAGGCTTTTGTATTGCCACCCTGATAAATAAGATTTGCCCAAGAATGTGAGAGGGAGAGAGAGAGAGAGAGAGAGAGAGAGAGAACCTGCTGAAAAGCCTTCTCGTCTTTCACCTGGATGGGAGAGATCGTGATCATGATTGGTTCTCTCACTATGTTTCCTCACAATGCGCATGAGAGAGAGAGAGAGAGAGAGAGAGAGAGAGAGAGAGAGAGAGAGAGAGAGAGAGAGAGAGAGA